CAAAGACTGACCACTTGACTCTGACTGTCCGGACTGTATAAATCCTGTGTAGCTACGACGTTTGTGCACCCGGGTGATGTAGTAACTGGGATACCATCAAAAGCTGCCACCCGAGGTTAAACCAATCAGTCAAAAATAACCATAAAGACTAGGACCTCCTGCCATTCCCACACATGACTTACTCCTCCCTACGTGAGAATGAGTAATCACGGAATATTAGGATAAACGCCCGCTAAGCTTTGCCCACATTCATACTTTAGCATTCAATAACCACTTTCTGATATATTCCTCCCTGGAATACTCTTTTATAACCAAACTATTTCATTTGCATCACATTTCAAATTCCCTTATACTTCATCATTAATATATTCAACTGAAATAAGACCACACTTTCTCATCAAAGCACAAGTCCGAATGAAATAACACTTCTTAGAAACTAATCATGACCGAGCGCTATTTACAAATTTATCCGCTTCAATGAACTGACCCTTAAGAGTTCAAACCGGGTGCCACGATGCCTAGGCCGAGTACTAAGACTCTAGGCCGAACACCTTTTAAAGACCAAAACTGTTTGACACCAAATGCTAATAACTGATGAGATACTACGAAGAAACGAACGCTATTGAGTTTGGCCGAAGACTCTTATTTTAAAAACAGTAATAATATATTACTGAAACGAGACCGAGCACTAGGTTTAAGACAGAGCCCTGTAGAAACCGAACACTATTGAACGAACGTTGATCCAAGACCAAGCACTTATCAAGAACGAGAGTTACTAAGACTGAACGCTTGGTCCAAGAGCGACCACTACTAAACTTAAATAAAATGAATGATATATATATATATATATATATATATATATATATATATATATATATATACACACACACACACACATACAATTGCGCCACACTTATTTTTAATGAAAAATAACGATACCATCTACGACTTTACTTATTATAGAAGACATTAACTAAACTGTTTAGGAAACCTAAAGGAGAACTACACTTAGGCCGAACGCTCATTTACATATATCTAATATTATAAAGCGATCTTCATGAACGAAATTCTCTCCAGAAGAAGAATTTAGTTTAGACGGACGCTCAAAAGAAAACTGAACGGTCAATACTGACTCTCGGTTATAGTTTACAAAATTCTACAGACTATTACAGAGTGACTCTCCGACAATATCCCTAAAGCATGAGAATTCAGTTAAGACCCTACACTCCCATGAAGAATTGAACGATCACGAATGACGCTCGACCACAGTTACAGAATTTACTCAGAATATTGTAGTTTGAAGATCAAACCCTATTTCAACTCAGTTCACACAATTTATCAATCATCCATCCACACATCCAAACATGCAGTAACACGCATATTTCATACTCATCAAATAATCAAACAAAGTATCATACAAACATATAACCATTCAAAAGAAGAATCTTAATCAAATTATATAAGCTTCCCTTACCTCTAAACGTAACCGAACGCTCACAGATGCAGAATATAGCTCACCACTACCAAAGACCTTAAAGTTCGACAGTCACGCTTTAAGAAACTAAACCAAACAGAAGACCAGAAATACTCAGAATAAGATTATCCGCTCAGGCAACCAGAAATCTGGGTTTGCATGCGAAAAGAAATGAACGTGCTAAGGAGAAAGTAACTCACCGGCTTAGAACCACAACTCGATCGGTTTAAATGAAAGCCCTTGAAACAGGGAAAGTTAAAACAATGCATGAGAGGTGATCAAAAGAAGAAAAAAAAAAAAATACTTAGAGAGAAGGTGGAGATGGTAGAGAGAAGGAGGAGATTCAGAAGGTTGAAGATGAATGGTGCATGCAGAGAAGTGACACGAAAATTTGAAAGTTTCAGTTTTACTTCTACCGCAAAAAACGTTAGTCCAATATGCATCACACACCTATCTTCCACTTTCTGAATTTCAGACACCCCTTTCGCTTACACATGTACTCCACTAAGTTGGGGTTTTTATGGGTATGACAGAAGTTACCCTTTGATTCTCACTCATATTTTGAAATGTTTTTAACGGTTTTTAATATAAAGAAAGAGATTTACTGAGAAAATACAACACCAATAAAATTTAAGTCTAACCATATAAAGAATTAATACCACTTTCTATCAAAAACCTTAAAATAATGAATTAATAGATCTTCATGTCTCTAATTTCTCATTTTTATTCAATGTTAAACTTAAAGTTACCCTTTGATTCTCACCCATATATTTTGAAATGTTTGAGACATAGATGCAATTTTGGTGACTTTTTGAACTTGATTGGCATAAAATTTTGAGGGGGAAAAAGAAAAGAGAAAACTTTTTGCAGTTTTGAGGTGTGTGTATGAGCCTTAGAAAATGGGTGCAGGGAACAGAGAGAGATGAGAAAAGGCATGATTGCTGAAGAGGAAGTGAAAGGTTTGTTCATTGGCATGGGCCCTGAGATGAAATGTCAAAGGTCACTTGGCATCAAATCTAACACAAGGCCTGCCCCTAACAAATCTCTCAAAATCCGATGCCTAATCATTTGAGTTTTATTTAAATTTTTCATAAAGTCTTGCAATTTTATTAGTGTAAGAAAGTGCACCCCTTTTCTGAAAGTTGCCCCCCATGGTTTTCCATGATTCATGTGCCTCACCTTTACATTCAAATTTGTTTTTTGAATGTCATCCATGTTCACATATATATATATATATATCTATATCTCCCTCTCATGTCTCATCATTCAATTTTAAACCCAAAGCTGAAATGAAAAAGATCATGATATATCAATCAACGAAATCAAAAAGATTACAAACTTTTCATGCAAAGGGACAACTCACTTTAACTTCACAAATTATAACCATTCCAGATTAAGGGTTAATATTTTCCCGTAATTTTTTCTACCTGCTTCAGAAATATTCATAATTGAACATTAATACGAGTGGCTACAATGTCTTAACACACTAAGGGCTTTTTTGCTTCTTTTGTCACAATGATGTCAGACATAAAGATGAAATTTTCTCAGATATTGCTTATCACCTCTCTTTCAAACCTAACTCGCTCTAGTCGATTTAAATGCACTGTCGAAAGTGGGGTAGACCATAGCATAATATACTTAGTTTGGAGAAATTACTTTAAACTTTATCTTTAAAAGTGTGTATTTAAGAGTGCATATATCAACTCTTAAAATTTTGACATGTCAATATCACAATGTGCTTTGGATTAAATTAAAGATCCATATATTTATATTTGTTCCCTTGTATTTTATTCTCTATTGGTTGGTTGGTTGTAGATTTTTTTTACATAATCTAACAATATTATAAACATCTCCCACTTCATCACTTTTTCATCATTTTTTTAGATAAAAAGTTATGATAATTAATAAATCCAAAAGTATTGTATTAGGTAAAAATTAAGTGAGATTTTAGACTCTAGGTGATAGAATGGACGTGCCTGCATCAATGTTAATTACTGCCACCTAGCTTTTTCTTTATGTTTGAACGAAAACAATGAATTATTTCTAAATAGAGAAGTGAATCGTTTCCATGTTTGATATATAATTTGAAAATTCACATGTTTTGTGTCTTGGCTACGCGATATGGACCATATTGGGTGTGATTTTTCGACGGAGTGAATAAGGAAATTAGCATTAAAAAAAAGATGATGGTGTTTGGAGGTCAATTATTTGAACTAAAGAGATTAATTAAGGGATTAATTAAGAAGTTCAACTAACTAATAAACCAAGGCATGAAAGTCTCATTCCATTGAGTGGTTTCTTACTTTCTTTCTACCTACAACAAGTACTTTTAAATTTATAGAGGTTCCTTGCAGATCTCACATGCATTAAATCCATCAAGATAAAAAGTCTTATTCATGAGTGTAATAGAACATGCACGCGTACCACTTTTCCTTTCTCTTTCCTTCTTCAGACTAATAAGCGTATGGTGCGAAATCGAAAACAGACAAAAAGTGATGGAGAGCTAAATCAATGCCCGCTTTTTTCATTATATCATTTTTCACCCAATAACCTTTTTATTTTAATATTTAATATTTTCAAATTATTCATTATTTGTTCACCTGCCCACATCTTTCGCACATCATGCCTACATATTCTCTACCTAGTATAACTAATTATACGCATCAAATATTCCTCAAATTCAATCAAAATTATCAAACTCATCACAAATATCATCATTCAAATAAACTTTCTTCTTCCGTCATTTTTCTGTCTGTAACTTCAGATCATGGAATAAACATTTTATTTTAAATCATGCTTTTTTTAGTTTTGAGTAACAGTTTTTGAAGTCACCCACCAGTACTTACCAAATTTAGGTCATTCCATCCACTGTTCGCGTTACCATCAACGCAATAGTTTAAGAATCAAGAAATATTAAATTTTTATTAAAAATGACATATGATAGTGATAACATAAATCTTCAGATAAGGAAGATCATTTTTTTTGTATAATTTGTTTTCATACTTTACTTGATCTTTTAGTATATAACAAGAAGTAACCCGGATTTAATTTTGGTGATCTATTGGGTTAAATTTTCTTAATAGAAAAAAAAACACAAAAGCCTGTGATTAATTATCAAATAGATTCATTTATCATGTTAAGTGTAGCATTTAAAAGTTATCATAAACAGGGAATGATTTAAATTTTGTTTTGAAAAATAAAATATTAGTGAAGGTGTGAATGCATGGAGCTATAATACACTGTATGCTTATTTAGTTTAGTTAATTTTGAACTTGTACTTTTTTGTTTTATTAAGGTGCTGAGAGAACGAATGAGAAACTATTTTTTATGTAAATGTCTAAAAAACACATGAACATGTCTTTGATTTTGATAAAACGAGATTGCGGCAACTTAGAATCCCCCAAATCTTGCCACAAATTACTCCTAGAATCTACAATTTTATAATGACCGTCAAATTAAAAAATCGGAAAAGAAAAAAAAAAGTGTAGAAGAACAGAAGAAGAGTGCAAGGATGCAGACAAAAATGGGAAACAAACATTAGAGGTAAAATCAGAATAGAAGGTGCGACAAAAACAGGAAAAGAGAGGATACATACAGTTTTGTCTGTGTAGTTCAATCTATGCTGCACATTGTACATTCTCTGAACGATAATTTCACACAAGTCAAAACCAAAATCCATATACAGTGACATGAACGCAAACTGATGCTGCAGTTTCTAGTTCACCACATAGAGACACAAATTATGGAACAAACGTCCAAACGATCGAAACCTCTCCAGGATTCTTTCGTGTGTGTGTGTGTGTGTATATATATATGTATATATATATATATATATATATATATATATATATATATATATGTGTGTGTATATATATTAATCAAAACCAGAATTGAGATTTTGTTGAGGATAACAAACAAAAAAAGAAAAAGTAGAGAAAGCCAAGATAGTGCTACTTATTTACGCATAATTCTTCTAATGGACCCAAAAATAGTGTTTAATTAATTTGATGGTCATGGTTAAGCTGAGGATACCAATTACCAATATTCTGTCTCTCATCACTCATGAATTAAAGCGTATGAAATTATATTTATGAATCTATCTCATCCCTTTTTACTTTGTTCATATTCTTTTCCCATTTGATGGTTGGTTCCTGCTCTAATCAGAAGAACAATTAATCCACGATTCAACCATACCTTCGCTTCTTGCAGCCACAGCACATTCCGGTGCTCCCTTCTCTCCATGAAAATCCGAAACACTGCTTCTGTAGTTTAAAGTGCCAGTACCAGTGCCAGTGCCTCCACTCAGAGACCTCAAAGCCCCTCCATCATTGCTGCCGCCAATTCTCTGGGCCTGGGCCCAGTCTGCCGAAGAAGGACCACGCATGTTGTTGTCTATGGTTATGTTGTTGTTGACCCTCGACAATGCTCCATCTGATGAAGAAGTAACCAAGTTCATGTTTTGATGATGATGGTGATGATGACCACCGACGTGCGCATGGCTCAATCCCAGCTCTTCCAAGCCACCCATCTTGAGGTGCGAGTCCACAGCACCGGGCGTGATTTCCAAGGAAGGTTGTTGTCGTTGTTGTTGTGATTTAGAACCGAGAAGAACAGAAGAGTCGTTGTTCCCGAGAATGGATTGGAGGCTGAGAATTGGGTTTTGCATGTTTAGAGAGTGGTGCTGGTAGTGAATGGAGGTGGAACCGGAACCCGAATTGTTGTTAGAAGCCAAGGTGTTCAACATGGGAGAAAAAGTATTGCTGTGTGGGATTGAAGAGGGTTGAGCTTGGACTTTGTGTGCAAAGGGGCGAAGAAGATAAGACGCGGTTTGTGTTTGCGGCTGTGGAGGAGGTTGTTCTAAATGAGAGGAAGCGGATCTTAGTAAAGCGGAGGAAGATGCATTAGAAGAAGCAAAGAGATCCAACCTGGTTCTCGGGAAGGGTGAGGAAGTGAAAGGAGGAGCTGGGATGCCAGTAAATTCCTGAACCATGGCTCGGAAATTCGTGGTGTCCGTAGTGAGCACAGTAGTTGGTGCACGCCTAGAAGCTCTCGACCTCTTCTTCGGGTTTCGAACCACGTTGGTGTTGGCGTTAGTACTGTTTTGTTCAAATCCTCCTCGTGCAGAAGCACTTTCCGAAGCGAGAGTGGTGGGAAAAGCAGAAACAGCAACGTTAGTGGCTCCTCCTCCGCGTGGTTGACTTTGACCTGCTCCCAGTTGAGATAACAGAAAACCTTGGTTGCTGCTGTTGGTGTGCGGGGAGGGTGAAGAAGAGCCAGGCATCAAGCCAGCGAGATCGGGTTCGGATCTGGCAACGGTGTTCCACATCATGTCGAGGTTAAGGATTTGGCTTGCGTTGGGGTGTGACTGCGATCTTTGTGTTGGATCCAAGTAATTGGATAAAGGGTCGAAGACGTGGTTTTGGAAGGGAGGAACATGGGCGGTTAACGTTGTTTGTTGCGGCGGAGGAACGGGGTTGTTGTTGAGGAAGGCCGAGATTGATGAGGAGGAGGAAGGGTCGGCGCGTGAATCGTAGTCTTCGTCACCGGCGGTGCTGGAGGATTGCATACTGCCACTGTTGGGCGAATCCATGAGAGCCGAAAATGGAAAGACGTAAGGGAGGAGGCAGAGAGATTTGGTTGATTGGATATTGGTTATTACAGGGTGGGAGAATGAGGTAGAGGTATGGGAGAAGAGAGAGTTAGCAGAGAGAAAGAGAGAGAAGGTGTTTTTGGTTATGTGGGAGCAAAACCCGTACAAAGTGTGTGGGTGTGCTCTCTTCTTCCCTTGCTTTTACTTAAGTTGTCTTTCACCAAAAGGGTGGAATGGAGGATACACGTAAAAGAAGGGTGTATTTAATACTACTTGCAGTTTGCAGAGGTTGGTTTCTGAGATTGGCTTGCTTGAGATAGAGAAAGAGAGTGAAAACTGTGTTAGGGTTTGACGAGTGAAACAGAAAAGGAGAAGAGAAAGAGAGAGTGTGTGAAAAGGAGGGGCCGGGGGAAGAAGAAAAGGATGGTTCTCTAGCCTTTTCTTTCTCTTAAAAAACAGGCTGCTTTGGCTTCTGATTTCATCTGGAAATTAAAATATCAGAGTGGGGCAGACATGGTAGCTATCTAGGGTGATGCCACCCTCCAATGGTCAAAGTATGTGAGAGTTGTGGTTCTGATTTCCTACTCTCAAACCAACAAAAAAAAAATGGACTTCAAGAGAAGATATTGTTAGTAGCTTAATTATATCATCAATGAATACATAACTTGTTTTTTTACTGTAGACGTAAAAAAAATTATATATTTGAAAATATAAATAGATAATTGTACGAGAGAGGTTTTTCGAGGTGGGCGAGGATGAAAATAGAGTGATGAATCGGCATGTTTAGGTTTCCAATACGCATGAAGTAAGGAATACAAATACGTGTGTAGATAATATCTAGAATTATGCACATAAAGAGAAATGATTGTTTTGACGGGTAAGCCCATGATGCACTACTACTACTACTACTACTGCTGCTGCTTCATATCCCAATCTGGACTCATATTCATGGCAGAAAAAGAAGAAATGTATCAACTTATACATGTCATTTAGATTTGACCCACAGTTGTTAAATTATTTATAAAATATGCATAATAAGAAAAGAAAAGGCGAAGGAATCTTTCACAGTCTTCCTCTGCTAAAAGATGCAGAAGGAAAATCATGATATTTATCATGTAAGCCTATATATTCTGCTTTCAGATGATTGCTTTTCTGTAACATCTTTCTTGTGTTTGTCATTCTCCTGTGTGGTTGAATAGCTGAATCAGTTCAACAACATCCATATTCGCTCCAACGATCCAAACTAAATAGCAACGGAGGTGTTGCCTTTTATCATTATTATAATTATTATTTGCAACTCCCACCCTCATCATTCAATAATAAATTTAATTTAATATTTTTCTAAATAATCAACTTGGTTTGAAGAATATGTAGCGGTCCTTGTCAGTTGTACGTGTAATATTTATATGCCTTTTTCTTTTTGATACACCTATGGTCTGTATTTGCCCCCTAGCTATATATATATATATAAAAGATAATAATCATATAATATAATGAAATAATCCTTACCAAACCAAACCATGTACACCCTTTCTCCCACGTCTTATAGGTCTACACGTAATACATGTACGCAAGATATAGATTTCACTGACCAGAATTGTTTTAACCACTTTTGGCGCTAATGAGTGGTTCGGCTAGCTCATTTTAAAGTAGGGTTGGAACTTGAAAATGGAAACTCGTTTTAGCTTTGGTATGTGTAGTTGTTCTTATGGAAATATTTTTTTTGCAAATTTGAAAAGGTTGGAGAGAAGGTGTTGTGATTTCCCTACACATGTTACACCGATCCTTAAAAGTATAGCCTTTTACTATACTTTTAATTAAAAATTAACTATTTTTTTGGTCTTACAGGACAAGCTTTTCAGAAGTCCTTTAACGTGAAGAAGATGGGCCCTGGGCATATCGTTTTCTGAATTCAAAATTTGTTTTTGATTAAAGATTTATTGTGGTTGCATTTATTTGAAGTTCTTCTCTATTGAATGCCACAAACACGCTTTTAAAGTAAATGAATTAATATACAAGATACTCTCACCGCGATTAGTGAAAGCGTGGTCAAAAATGAAAAATGAGACCCAGACTGCACCCAGAGAAGCAACCTGCTCAGACTTAATCACTTTTTTTTTTT